GTTGTTGTTGTTGTTGTGATCATAAACTGTATGGATGTGATTACACAAAATGCATGGAGCTTTTCCCTCACCATTGTAACGTGCTGCTTTTGCAAGGTTCCGTGAAAACGTTTCAGCTTTTATTTTCCTTTTTCGCCCTGAAGAAGATATCACAGGTTCATCAAGTTCGTCGGAATTATCCATCCTCGATCACTTTTAGTCAGCTTTGACGAAACTCCTCTCAGCTAGCACGTCTTTTCAAAGTGAAAGTAGCCTTGTCACCTGACCTGAATACAGCGCGCTGATTCGCTAAAATGGACTTATCGGCTTCTGTTCAAAAACAACAATGGCGCTTGTCGGCTTCTGCAGTAAAACGTGAACTCACGATGCCTTGAAAGTGGACAAAACCAGCTTTTTTGACAAAACGTGTTTAGGGTACAGATCGCGCTATATGTGGAGAATAATGCACGACAAATCTTTTTTTTTTAAAGTGGCGTTTATCGGTTTTTGCAAATGAACTCTTCAAATATAAATGTGTTTTTTAACATTAAAATATTTTAACTGATTTTAATCACAAAATCAGAGCTTGGAATATAAAAATCTAAATAAGAAAACATTATAATATAAATTTATAGTATCATATTTTCAATGCGGTTTCAGACTTTATTGTATAAGTACAGTACATGTCCATGAAAAGAATAGTCTTAAAAACTTATGATTAAATTGTAATTAAGTAATGTAAATGTGTTTTTATGTTAAAATGTTGATTTAAAATATATGTTAAAATCATAAAATACAAATATATGAGGAAAAGTCACAGAATTTCAGACTGTATATGTACATACAGACCCATAAATTGATACATCTTTAAATAATAACCATGTAAACATAGAAAAGTTTAATTTCTTTTCTCCTACAAAGTAACTGAATGTAGAGGTAAAAGTGTGAAAAAAATGTACAGTTCAGCATAAAAAGACTGGTCAGAAAGATGATGAGGATGAACAGTGTGACTCAATAAGTTTGACCCTAACGTAAGTACAGCGGTCAGACTGTCTGTAATCAGAGTCTCATCCATCTCAATCATTCTTTTGACTCTTTCAAACAATCTTTGCATTGAGTATGTAAGGTCAAGTGAACATCACAAACTAAAGCCTGTGTAATCTCCTACACCTCTCCACCTCTGGACATCAGTAAGCTGCTTCCATTATAGCGGGGTCACCTCTGAACAGGGTGCCACACGGGTGAGCAGCCGATTGGAGCTGGCAGTGCTGGGGGCGGCGGGAAGGTTAGGACGTACGTGCAAAGGATTATGGGATTACACCGACCTGTGTAAACGACAAGCTTTGTGTTTATTCAGGTTTATTTGCCTGTGGATTTGGGACACAGCTGCTGTTCATTTATCAGGTGTGGTGGGTGAGAAATGAACACAGAGGAAGGGAGAGAGAGCTCCTGCAGGGAGTAACCTATCCTTTTGGTGGCAAAGGACAGAAAAGCTGGTCGAAGGCTGTTTGATGGGGCAAAATCACGAAAAAGTTGAGCCACTTTATTGTGTAGATTGTAGCATAGTAGTCCTCCTTAACCTACAACTCTAGGCAGACCCACAAAGTGAGAAGTTGCATTTAAAACTTGTGTTGTGCCATTATCTGTTTTTTAGATAAAATCCTTTAGTGAGTCAGATACTAAAACAACAAAATAATTTCATAACTGTGCGTACAGTTTTTATTAACTCACATCGCTCGAGTACATAAAAATAGTAAAACATTATTTCATATAGAATAATATTATAATATGTAATAAATATTTTATATATATTTCAAGAAATAAAAAAATACATTTAAAAAACTTGCTCTGATTGAATAGTCCATTATATATATATATA